TAGAATAGGAAGACCAGATAGGTCCGGGAGACTATCATGGAGGAGAAAAAGGAGGAAGGGCAGGTGTGATATTCATTAATTGGGATCAAATGAAGCGTTGGGTCAAACTGCGCGAAGAGGAGTGGCCTTGAAACAGCAGTCTTTGCAGACGAACGTCTCAACATCGGCAGCCCCAATGTCACCAAGAACCCCAGATCTTCGCTCGTAGCACCGGAAACAGATTAGGCGTCCACATTTGGAGCAATGGGCCTAAAGGGGGAAAAATAGTGGACGGGGAAAGTCGAATGGACCTTATTAATGAAGAGAGCACGTGCGTAGTTTGTGTTTACTACAGCCTATGATATAAGCACAAGTAGTTGATAATGAAAACTTTCGCTGACAATGACTTCTTGTTTACGTGTCATAAGCTGAACCCTAGCTGGGCTAGTTGAAGGCCAGAAAACTAAGTCTCAACCATCTGTTTTGAGCCCACTGGGGCTATCATATCGGAAAAGAGGAATAATAGCAGCACTTTTGGATGATGGAGCAAGAACAAGATGTAATTTCCCAAACTAAACAACCCGTAGGATTAATAGAAGTGGTAGTTTAGCGTAATCGAAAGGCTCCAATCAAAATCTGACCAATAGGATAATATAATACATTCTCAAACACGCGACCGTGTTAGACGTCCAACGCTCTAACGACTGCGCCACAGGCTCGTTGTGTTGCCGGTTTCCATCGGGAATATACACAATGCGGAGTAGATGGGCGCTCACCGATGGGTTACGGAACTCACTCGTCCCGTTGGGCCTTGGAGCTCGTCCTCGAGCCTCGCCAGCAATCGCTCAAAGGCCAGCATATTACAGGCAAAATTACATTACCGAAAAAGACACGGGGTGGCCGGAATGATCAGGTCTGGCTTAGCAGACATCATCAGCCAGCCACACCCAATCCAACGGGTGGCGATCCCCGAAGCTCGAATCCGCGACCTTGTTAGTCAGAAGACCAATGTACTAGCCTTTGGGCCCCAAGGCACAACGAGATGAGTGACTTCCGTAACCGATCAGAGTACCAGGTGGATTATTTTTGTCCCTTCTACTCATTGGCTAATTTTAACCATCTTACGTACCCAACAAGTGGCCGAAAAAGAACATAGAAATTTAAAACATTTTTCGTGACTGCTGCAGCTGATGAGCAGTCACGAAATTCGTTTGATCAAATAAATTCTGCCGTATATACTTGTTACAAACATAGAAATTGAAACTAAAAATCGGCCATGTAAATGGACTGCACATTGAGGTCAGAGGTACTTGAATAAATCTGTTTAGCATGATAAAATAAAGGGAGAGGTTGTACATGTGGGTTTCGCCCTTTGTTATTAATGAACGGGCTTATAAAATTACCGAGACAAATAAAAAAAGTCCCACTCCAAGTGATAGGATGACCTCACTCAACCCACGACAGAATAATTTTTTGCAAAACAAGTTTACGCCTTTAAACTTTATCGCTCTCTCCCCCCCCCTCCCTACCAACCAATCCCTCCGCGATGAAACTGAATTCCCGCATTGAAGAAAACGCCCTCGGAGGAACTGCAGACGGAACGTCACAGAAAAAGAAGTAAGCCATAAGCAGCTGAACAACAGGGGGAGGGGGGTGAGGCGGTTCAGTGAAATGTGGCGAACCTTTGGGGTGTGGATAACCATGAGAACGTTGCAGACGGGACAGCTGGATGAGGGGTGCACAGCCAGGGGCTCCAGTTCCAATGGCAGAGCAGCCAGCTGTGATGCCAATGCGGAGACGGAGAGCAGAGGGAGGGTGGCGCCAGCGAGTTTAGTTGAATCTAACAAAAACAAGCGTGAAAATGGCTCAGTGTGAATAGTAAAACCAAACAAGGTTTACTGTATTTGGGGGGGAGGGGGGCGTGGAAGATATATTCTAAATGATACACAAATCGTGTTAAGATAATTACAAGGGGTGGTCAGCCGAACGGAGAGTAAAGACAGAGGTAACACATTCGCAAAGTAATCTCGCTCTCAAGGATAGATCAATTCGAACACACTTTCTAACTGAAGACGAAGTGATTCAGGACGTGCAAGGCAGGAAATCTCTACACAACAGTTCAGGAGACGTAGTGAGGTGAGTAAACACAGAGAAACATACAGTCAGTGACCTATCTCATGTGATGTTAACCAAACTTTTAAAATGCCTTTCAGATCAGGAAAAACTGACTTATCAATTGTGAAAAAACTCGCGGCATTCGGCGGGATTCGAACCCGCATAGGAGGTAAGGCCTTCTGCGCAAGCCAACGCTCTACCTTCTTGAGCCACGAATGCCCCGCGAGTTTTTCACAATTGGGTCAACTAAATTAAACAAATCTGT